TTTTTTTTTTTTTTTTTTTGATGAGGAGAGAAGCTGGTCTCCAGCGAGATTACTATGATTTACTCTACCCTCCTCCCACTCCTAAATTTTATCTTCTATTTTGTCCCATATTATGTGTCAGCTTCTATGGAGACAGATTTCTGATTGAAAAGACCAAGGATGAGCTCGAGAGCTGAGATATCTCTGATAATGATAGTTAAATCTCTTCCTTTTCACAGCTTGCTTATATTTGTTGTGCACATGTGTATGTGTGTGTGTGTAAGTAAATGTTTTGTTCCAAGGGCTCTAAAATGTTTCAAGAGCAATTAAAGAAGATCAAAAGCATCTTTAAAAACATCAGACACTAGCCAGCCCTAACTGTGGCAGTTTCTTTTTAATTACTGTGGTATTATCAGTGGATTGCTCTAAATTAACAGATTCTATTTAGGGAGTGCACCCGTGACACAATTAGGTGTCAGAAATTTTGTTACTTTTCTGGGCCTGGGAGTCAGAGAGATTTGTCCCATATTCTGCATTCTCTTCTCCGCAAGGCACAGCTTCCCTCTTAAGGGACACCAGCTGCAGCTGCCTCCCCTGGTTATCTCGAGAGCCCCCGGGTGGCTGTTGAAACTGGGATGGGGCTGGGGTGGCAATGGGTCTGGGGCAAAGGGACTTGTGCTGAAGCAGGATTTGCCTATATTGTATGATACAGATCAAGAAAAACAAACATTTCTAAACATGTTTTGACTCATATTTCCCATGAGATTGAAAAAGCATCAATTAACCACATTGAGAAAAAAAAAGATCATCAAGGAGGGGCGGGTGTTAGGGGAGTTTAAGCAGATTACATGGGGTCTGGAGTCTTTCAAGCCACCCTCTGGCATCTTCTCAAGCCAGCCCTGCCAGAGGGCCCAAGGATTCTGAGCATGCCCGAGGATACACGCTTGTTCTGGCAAAGAAAGTAATTTGGCCTTCCTACTTCTAATCTTAAATTTTCTTGACTGTCTTTCAAGTGAGATTGGGGCCTTTTGTGCCACATCCTGTATCACTACTGTTTCGTCTTTGTGAGGAAAAGACACAGGTCGACCATCCCCGGGCCTTCAATCTTCAGGGAAGCAATGGGTTGGTAGAGAGATCCACATGGGTTGCAGCTATTGCTAAGCAGCCAGCAGAACAAAACTTGGCTGAGAGAGCCTTTTCCAAATTGGTACTTATTGGGTACAATGATAGTATTCATGATAGCTTTTTGCATATAACAGTTAGCCTCTGTGGGTCTTCTAGGTGCTGTATGCCTTCGCTTCCCAGGAGTTAACTGGGCCACTGACTTCGGCTCATCAGTGGGTGAACATGACGGATGTCACTGTCTTGCTCAATTCCACACACACAGTAAGTGTCACCGAGTCACACTGATTATACCACAAGGGTAAAGCTCAGGACTAATCTCATTATTAGTGGAAGTTTAACTTCCGTTTCATTGTTTCTTCTTTGTTTTTAAAATCTTTCCTCTAGGCAAAAACATGTAAACCAGCACTGGGCTACAGTTTTGCAGCTGGCACAATCGATGGAGTTGGGAGCTTCAATTTTACGCAGGGTGAGGTGCAGTCTAATGAAATCTGTGATCCCAGGTTCTGAAGCTTCAGGGTTGTGTCTCCAACAGAGTCTACTTGTAGCCAATACATTTGCTATTTTTATTCCAGGTTTGTACATGACACCCAGGTTTCCCAGGAATAAATAAGTGTCTATTGTGACTCAGTGTTCAACTGATTCAAATAGAATTAGAGAAAAATTCTCTTTGCATTTTAGTCTGTGGATGTATAATTGTAAATTGTGCTTGGGCAGAGGGAGTTGGGGGATGCAGAAGGAGATTGTCATTACACCGTCAGTGTTTCTCTCTTTCTCTTCCTTCCTCGCACTCTCTCTCTAAAATCAATAAATAAAAAAATTTTTTTAAAAGTGAGGTAAGAAGATCCCTACTATTATTGTATTCTCTATTTCTCCCTTCAGATCTGTTAATATTTGTGTTTTTATATTTTCTTCTGATTTCTTCTTTGGTCATTTGCTATTTATGATTACGTTGTTTAATTACCATATATTGTGAGTTTCCCAAATTTTCTTCTGTTATTTATTTCTAATTTCATTACACTGTGGTTAGAAAACATACTTTGTATTATTTATCTGCTTTAAAACTTCCTGAGCTTAGTTTTATGGCCAGCATATGGTCTCTCCTGGATAATGTTTCATATGCACTTGAGAAGAATGTATATTATGTCGTTGTTGGATAGAGTGATCTGTAGGGATCTGTTAGGTCTAATTGGCTTCTAGTGTCGTTCAAGTTTTCTATTTCCCTGTTGATCTTCTAACTAGTTGTTCCATTTGCTACTGACAGTGGATTATTGAAGTTCAAACTGTTATTGCTGATTATCTCTCCTTTCATTTCTGTCAGTTTTGGTTTATGCACTTTGGATGCTCTTTTATTGTATTTTGCTAATGGATTATAGATTTAAGTTTATAGGTTTTGTAGTTAACATAATTTCCCTCCAGACTATGGATTTTAGGCTAGGTTTTTGTTTTTTTACTGATTGTGTGTGTGTGTGTGTGTGTGTGTGTGTGTGTGTGTGTGTGTAGATAACTAATTGGGGATCAAGAGAGGCTCTTTCAGGGACCACAAGCCAAACCACTGGTACTTCAAGCTGGAAATGTCATTTTTAGTTTTCACAATGGAAAATCTACAGTTAATTCTATCATATTGTTTTTATTTGAAATGTGGAAGAGGAAGAACAATAGAAACAAAACTTTAAGGACATTGAGCAAAATATATTCTTTTACTCTACTAACCACACTGAAGATGTAGCTAATAATGGCTCCTATTCTAGGATGCACGGGGGATTTTGCTGCTTCTACTATTTAGACATGCTTTACGATTGGGGGATGAGCCAGGGTTGTCATTAAATAACAATCTTAATAAAATCTCTGAAACTCCTAAAAGCATTGTGTACAATAGTTGTCAAAATGATGATATCTTTCAGAGGGTTGGAATCATATTAATGAAAACATTCCTAACAGGGACAACGGTATCGGATCCATTTTGGGACTCTCTTCGGGATCAGCTCTTGGGCAAACCATCTGAAGAAATCAAAGAATGTCATAAACCAAAGCCAGTCCTTGTTCACACTGGAGAGGTAAAGCATTTTCGTTATCATGGTGAAATTAGCGTATTGCTTTCTTAAATGTATGACTTGTCGGATATGAATGGTATAACTCTATTGGCATGGGAGGTCTTATTCAGATGTTCCTACATCAAAATATTTAATATCAGCTGCATGGATGCTCTGAGTCTAAAAATAAGGGGTATGATTATTAACTATTTTAACTTCAAATTTATGATAAATAACTGAAACAATTAGAACGCTGGAAAAGGAAGAGTAAGAATAACATTTATCTTATTTAAGTTTCACTTATGTTACTTCCAGAACAGACGTTCACACAGAATTCTCTGCAGAGAAAAACAACCTAGTTCCTTATGAAAAGAACATGTTCAAGTCTCAATTTTCTCACGGTTCAGGCAATGTTATTAGACTAAAGCGATATTCTTTGAATACTCCTTTGGAACATGAATTTCCACATTCTAAATGTCAAAATGTGATGCCAGTGTTTATAATACGAACTGTTGATGTAGAGAAAAATTTTACAGAGAGTTTTTCCCTAATATTCAATTAACGTGCTTCAGGAAGAGGAAAGAGAGGGAAGGGAAGGGATAGAGGGAAAGAGTCTACACTAATTTGACTATGGAAAAGGGTAGATGCTCTTGGAGAAAAGTTGGAAAGGCAAGACTTGGTAACTGAACGTTTAAAGTGCTATTAGAATAAAAGGAGGGATTATTTGGTTAAGCTATTCCAAATGATGGAATTACGTATTTACTTTGTATAAGGATGGCCACCACAGTCCACTAGCAGAATCCTTGGTTAGCTGTTACACATTGTGATTCCACAATGAGAAATCCACCAAGAACTTCACTGGTGAGAAAACAAGTCCAGGTTAACGGGGCCTTGGCCTTTGAGATTCGCATGTTATGACTAGATAGAATATTTAATGTTACACCATGAATTGGAAAGACAATCTATGATGGTAGGATAAGACACCAAAGCAGCTGGAGACATTTTAAATCCTTTAATAAAGAAACCTCTGTGATCATCACACGTCTCTTGACTGTGGAAAGAATAATATTCCTAATGCGGTGTTCATGTTTTGGGTTCCTAGCTGTCAAAACCTCATCCCTGGCACCCAGATATCGTTGATGTCCAGATTATTACTCTTGGGTCCTTGGCCATAACTGCCATCCCTGGGGAACTTACGTAAGTTCTTCTTTTTTGTTTTGTAGTTTTAAAATGTAATTATTGTGCCCTGGCAGGATGGCTCAATTGATTGGAGTGTAGTCCTGTACACCAAAAGGTTGTGGGTTCGATTCCCAGTCTGGACATATACCTAGGTTGTGTGTTTGATCCCTGGTCGAGAGAAACAATCAGTGTTTCTCTCCCCCCCACCCTCTTTCTCTCTCTCCCTCTCTCTCTCTCCCTCTCTCCCTCTTTCTCTCTCCCCCGTTTCCTCTCTCTCTAAAAATTAATAAAAACATATCCTCCTGTGAGGGTTAAAAAAAAGTTGCAACTTTAAGAAAAATGTAATGATTGTATATGTGTTTCTGTTGGAATCACTTATCGTGGGCAGACGATTCTGTACTGACAGTGAGGAAAAAAGCTCCACTTTAGCTTTGCTTTGTCATTGAGTTTCTACATGCTTTACGATAGGGGGATGAGCCAGGGTAACGTTCTGACTTTTACTCCAAGCCATCCTGCATACTTTGCATACCTTCTAAATAGGAAAACACTTAGATAATTCTGTTTTCTTCACTCAGGACCATGTCTGGACGAAGACTCCGGGAGGCAATTAAAGCAGTAAGTTAAAAATGAGATAATATCTATGCATTTATATTTGGTGAAGAGAAAAGAACCCCTAGCCATATGATCTAATACCTTTTAAATTAATCTTTGATAAAATAATTAGAGTTTTACACTTCTTGAAAGTAATGGCTAGAGGTAAATATGAAATATTGGTGGCACAAGAACAAATTCAAAAATATATAAGGGAATTATAGTCATGTTAAAAACATTTTATTGGTATTTGTGTGTTAATAATTAACAATGGTTTTATGGATTAGATAGTAAATCACCCCTGAGTACCTTAGTATCTTAAAGTCTTATCTAAATAAAATCTAACACATGCTGAGAATTATGTATTTTGTCTATAATTATGATTTTCTTTATATTCAGGAAGTGTTGTAAATAGTTCTAAGATGACATAGTCAACAAATGTTTTATTACTTGGGCCTGGGAATAACTACTGTCTTTAGCTAGTAACCTGCCATTATACTTTTCAGGAAATTGATAAAATGTCTTTATTTTAGTAATAAGAAGGTTCTACACCTGCAAGTGCAATCATGAAGATGGTTATAGACTTATTGACTTGTTCAACTCTAGTGCAGAGTTCTGGCTCTAACTTTCATCAAGGACTCTTGGATGCTTCTGCATTCCCAGGCAGTTTTGATCACTAGGAAGAATATTGTTAAGAGAGATATCTTACACTAACGGTTCATACCCATGATTGTATGTTAAGTGTAACTGGGATTATAATATACTTTAAGATGAAGAGTAATTTACTGGGCTCTACCTCTCCCACCCTCCCAGGAGTTTGCAACTTATGGGATGCAGAATATGACTGTTGTTATTTCGGGTCTATGCAATGTATACACACATTACATCACCACTTATGAAGAATACCAGGTAAAGTAAAAAGTTTTTATCATTTAAGTGAAATATACCCTGGCCAAGACTATTGTATTAAATGCAGGTTTCTTTCTAGACTCACTGGATCATGTTTTTGAGAGATGACTTTTTTTAGGACAGATAAGAGAATGATAAGCCGGAGGTTGTATTTGGTAGTTTCAAGTTTACCATTTACAAGTTCAAATTAGAAATCTAGTCTCACTGACTTTCACTTTTTCTGAAACAAGTTATTTTGTCCGGAGCACTGGTTGTAAGTCTGGGTTGTGGCATACAACATTCCTGACTCTGTCCGTGATGCTTCCAGTGCCTTGAGCTTCTGTAGAACCTGGGAAGACTCCCACTAAAGTTTATTGAATGCACTAGCTAAACACCTTGCAAATGTGATCTTAACTAATCCTCACAATAAGCCCTGGAGCAGGATATTATTATATTCACAGTGTAGATTAAGGAACAGAGTCTCAGAGAATTTAGGAGATGCTGCTGGATGGAGGTGTTTCTTTGCTTATAAGTAGTACAGAAAATAACCCAAAAGTTTTTAACAATAGTAATTAAAAACAAAGAACATTTTAGAGTCCTACAATTAATGCTCCCTAATATATCTGCAGTCCATATCCAGGCATGTAGTCTACCCCTTGGCAATGTTCAGTGTTACCAGCAGTGGAATCTGCTCTGAGCCCTCTGTTGACTTTATTAAAGATCTCTATCTTTAGGAAAGGAAATCTTGTTGAATAAAGGTTCCTAAGTGGGGTAAACTTGGATGGGAATAATTTTTTTAATTCATTTTTATTTATCTGTAACTATTTATTTTTTAGCATTTCTTCCAATTATGAATGTAGGTGACAAATGACAGTACTATTAGCAGTATCTCTGACTTCGTCACCAATAGGAACCACAAATATCTTTCATGCCACACACAAATATTTCAGATCTGGGAATAGCTTTTACTCTCATCCCTATTTTAAAATCACAGTAGTTATTAAATCTGCTACTAGATCTTGTTATTCAATAAATAAGCACAAACACTACTCTATCACAAAATTGGTTTATTATTGTTTGATCAATCTAATCAGTTTCCTTTGTCAACTCATGCATTTTATTTTATGCATTTAGAAATATTAATCTGAGAGGGGTCCATAGACATTAACAGATGGTCAAAGGAGTTCATGGCACGCGTAAGGTTAGGAACCCCTACAAGCTTGTCTCCCATTTCAGGGATATGCTCCTGCAAGGATTAGTATTGATTTGTTAGTTTATTTATTCACTCATTCATTTCACAAATATGTGTTGTGACATACCGTACTAGCCACTATCTGGGCATAGCAATGAATAGGAATCTGCCCCTGTCCTCAAGATCACTAGAATTGATGGTCTAGAAAAAACAGAAGAAAACAAGATTAAAATTCTGTGAAAGGGATCCACAAAGTGGTATAAAAAAAAAAGAAAGAGCATCAATCTAGACTAAGTGTTTGAGCATGGGGACTGGTGGATTTTTTGGAAGATGTAACACCTGTCTGAGTTCTTGAGAATGAGAAAGGTCTAATTAGGCACATAAAAGTTAGGGAAGGTGTTTCCTGTTGAGAGAGCTCCATATGCAAAGGTCCAGAGGGCAGACTTAGTACATTTAAGAGGCCTTCATTAGTTGAGTTCCGTGGAATAAGCGTGATGAAGGTGGTGAAACAGGGGCGGGGATAGTTGAAAAGTATTTTATGCTCCGCTGCAGAGCTTTGACTCACTAAGGAAGGCTTCGGGGAACTGCAGTAGAATTCAAAGAAAGGAGCGTCTGATCAATTTGTGATTTAGAAAGGTCACGAGGACGGCAGTGCAGAAAATGAATTTGAAGGGCAAGAGTAGAGACAGAACTGGTTCAGAAGCTGTAGTTATGACTGGGGTGAGAGGGAAGGTAAAAAGCAGTGGAGACAGAGGAAAATGAAAGAGGTCAGGAGGTCTTAAGGAACAATGACTTGGAGACTCGTAGGAGGTAGGAAGAGGGGGGAGAGGAACCTGACGGCGGCCAGCTGGTCCCGGCGTGGGGGCAGGGAGGCTGGCATTCCCTGAGACGGAGAACCTCGCAGGGAAAGCTGGTGTATTCGGAGGGATGAATTTCATTTTAGATTCAATGAATTTGAGGTTCCTGGGAAGCAACCAAAGGCTTGGAGCTCAGGTAAAAAGAGATGTATTTGGTTCTATTTTATAATCTATGATGGATTACATTTTTTTCCAGGTAGTACCATTATCACCCAATTTATCCAGGAGTTCCTAAGACTCATTTTTCTTCATATTTTTCTCCTGTTGTACTCCTTGGGGAAAAAATTTATATTACAAGTACTTAGAACAGACATAAGCTCAGGAGCTAGTACCCGCTTTTGGGTTAAATGGACTGACAGGCCAAATGGTATAAGCCACTGCCTTTAACAAGCAGTTGATGGGAGCCATGTACTTTAGCTGGTAAATAAAAATGCCCACCCTCCTTTGCCATAATTAATCTTGAATTATGCTAGTTTGAATTACACGTGATGTCTGAGCACCACCCCTCACTTAAGGTGTAACGCCTCTGTAAATGGATGAGATACGCAGGATGTTACCACATGTCCCTGCCTTTCCTGCAGGTTCAACGGTACGAGGCAGCATCTACAATTTATGGACCACACACGCTGTCTGCTTACATCCAGCTCTACAGAGGCCTTGCTAAGGCCATCGCTACGGTAATAAAAATTTGTACGCGTGTTTCTCAGGGGTGGGGAGATATAGAGGGAAGCAAAATAGAAAGCTTAGCTGTGAGTGTTCCATTTTTAAAAACTTTATGTTAAATATATATATGTAGCTATGAAGTATTCCTAAGAAATGAGATAGTAAATTTAGATTCAGTAAATGCCTTTTTAAAAAATTTATTTTATTGTCGAGAGGATTACAGATATCCCCCACTTTGCCCCCCCTCCACCCACCTCCCAGTAAATACCTTTTAGTGGTGGTAGCTTTTTTCATATATATGATCTCATTATCTTCATAATCATCATGTGAAGTATGGAAGCATGACTTTTCCCCCATTTTTCAGATGAGCAAATAGGTTCAGAGGTGATAAGTGACCAGGCTTGTCATAACTAGAACCAGGCGTGAACCAGCATTCTCTAGTCGCAGCCAGCACTTGAAGGGCTGAGCCGGTCATCAGTTCTGAGATGCCCATTTTCCATGTTAGAACATCTCTGAAATTGGGATGCATCTTCCAATCAGAGGAATCTTACAATTATAGTTGGTAGCATGATTTCACTTTCCTGGAGGTTCAAAAATAAAATAGTTGTTATAGTCAACAGTCTTAGATTTGATGAAGTACAACAGTGCCTGGGACTACACATACACATCATAGCTACCCAAAATGTGCACACTGGAGCAAGTTTACCTAAAGGAACTCCACTCATGGAAATTGTTTCTTTGAAAACAGTTATTTATGAAGATGTACTCTGGTGTGAAATTATTAGTCACAAGCAGCATAAAGAGTTATAATAAGAAACAGACCATTGTATAATACCATATGAGCCTCAGTAAGGCTATGAAACAATTATGGCACAGCAAAGACAATAAAGGCCTTTCAAAGAATGAGCTTGGGTATATTAAATTGAAACCAATGAAATTACTGTTTCTGTAGTTGAATATTGGCAATTTCATATGCCTCCCCCTAATTAGTTGCTTATTGTGTGTTTGAAGTTCCAATACAAGGTATTAGGATATAGTTTAATTACCTGGTTATTGTTTTACATAATGTTCTTAATTTTAGCTTTGATACTTTTCAAAGTAGGACTATTTTATTTGTCATCACAGAAGCTATAAATATTCTGTGAATATTCATCACAGAATATTCAGATTATATAGAAAAGTATAATCTTATAACCCATCCCTAGAGAGAACCACTGTTTTAACTTGCATTGTTATCATAGTCTATAGCTCTTCCCATAGAAATAGATTCTTCAAATTTTATAGTGATATTTAGGAAGAAAAGTGTGAATCATTTCGTGGAAATTTGCTTCACGGTCAATTTTATGGTTATGTATCTAACACTAGTTATGTGATCTTGAAAAACTACTGAGTATCTCCAAGCCTATATTCTCACTTGTAAAATGGGAATGACAATAGGTTATATGGCTATTGTAAAGATTAAATATATGAAGTGATTATGAAAGTACATTAAATACATATGAAGGCTATTGAAAATTTGAGGTTAGCATTTTGATGACATTATTAAAGGTGGCAAATTTTTGGAAAACACAGATTAAACCAGTCAGGATATAGGCTGATCTTAACTTTTAAATTAAAAATATATTTATTATATTCTTTAATCGGCACAGAGGAGGATTCAGGGACTAAAACCTTGGTACTGATTCTGGATAAGAGAGGCTCACCATGTTTTAAAAATTAAAAGAATAATTACAGTGTCATGTTATGAAGGCTTATCATGTGTTAGGCTCCTGTTCAGTCGCACATTTAAAAAATGGCTGTCCTAGAACCTGAAGCTGTGCAACATCCTTCCAAGCTTGCACTCTGGTCACTGAACACACTGCCCAGGGGAGCAAAAGTGTTGCCTATGACCAAAACTTTCTTCTATTGACAGAAGTTAAATTATGCACATTTAAGCTCACATTTTGTTAAGTTAGTTAGCTCTTGGAGGGAGAGAGAGAAAAGGAGGGAGGGAGGGTGAGAGGGAGGGAGAGAGGGATTCCTTTAATGAAGGCTTTCTGCGGGGTGGGGAACTTGGGAAGGGGTCTTTGATTCTATATTGTGCGCTCCTTAAGCAAATGTTCTCTGTTCTAGGACACAGTAGCCAATCTGAGCAGAGGTCCGGAGCCTCCATTTTTCAAAGAACTGATAATCCCATTAATTCCTAATATTGTGGATAGAGCACCAATAGGCAAGAATTTTGGGGATGTCCTGCAGCCGTTGAATCCTATATACAGAGTGGTAAGATTCACAAAGGGATATTGGAATGCTCCAGAGAAGCTTGTGTTTGGAGATGGGTGGGGGTGGGGTGGGAAGATGTTAATAACCTCTAATGATGCTGTAGGTTATCAGCTGTTAGCAACGATAATTTTAGTAATTGTGTTAATCTCTGGAGAGGCTCTGCAAACATGACAATGGGGAAATAATTATTTTTCAGGTGGTAATTTTGTAAAATTGAGTTTCTAAAATACCAATTATTCTTTTTCTTTTTCAATGAATGGCCATGGAATCATTCATTGGAGTTCAGAAAAGTTGTCTCTTAAATCGAGGATAGAAATGAATCAGGATTCGTACCATTACTATTTTATATTAATTGTCCTTCAATTTATATATAATGTCCTTCGACTTTGCTAAGAAAAACAATGTTGAATAGATGTTGTAACACTGGACATCCTTGTCTTGTTTCTAATCCTCGGAGCAAAAGTGTTCAGTCATGAGGTGTAATTTTTTTTTTTAAGGTAAAGGGCATCTGTAAGTTTCCTTCTATTCCTAGTGTGTTGAGACGTTTTGTGAAGAATGGGTGTTGGATTTTTTCAGATGCTTTTCTCTGTCTTCTGAGATGATCATGTGCCTTTTGTCTTTCATTCTACTAATATGGTGTATTGCATTAGTTGACTTTCAGATATTAAGTAAATATTCATTAGTTATGGTATATGGTCATTTTTATATGTTGTTGAATTTGGTTTGGTAATATTCTACAAAAAAGTTTTGTACTCATCTCCATGAGGGATGTTTGCAGACTCTTTGAATGTGCGGTCTTTGTCTGCCTTTGGTATCAGGGTAACATTCGTCTCAAGGGATGAGTGAGGAAGTGTTCCCTCCTGTATTTTCTAAAATTGTGTGCAGAAGATTGGTATCATTTCTTTAAATATTTGATGAGATTTATCAGCAAAGCCATATGGACCTGGGCTTCTCTTTATGACAACATTTTAATTTACTAATTCATTTTCTTTAGTTGGTATAGGCCTATTCAGATTTTCTATTGTCTTTAGGTACCTGTATCTTTCTAAGGATTTGCATCTTTGGGGGGATTTGCCCCTTTCATATAAGTTTGTTGGGATAAAGCTGTTTATAATATTCCCTTATAACTCTTTTAATTTCTGTAGGTTCAGTAATGATGTCTCCTCTTTTGTCCTGAACTTGGTAATTTGTGTCTTCAAAGAGCTTTAGCTTCATTGATTTCATCTATTGCTTTTTAGTTTTCTGTGTCATTGATTTTCCTCTTGGGCTTCTTATCCTTCCTTCTGCCAGCTTTGATTTTATTTTATTCTTTTTCTCATTTCTTAAGGTGGAAGCTTAGGTTATTTTTCTGTTTTAGTATACTGTTTTTTCCTCTGTTGATTTTTTTTTTTTTTTTTACCATATATATTTAGCTATTTTCCTAGTAGTTGTTTTAGGGACTTAAGAAAAAAGAACTGTTTCTCTTCTCAACATTCTACTCTCAATACTCCTGACAGCAGATGCGTGGAGATTTCCCCCACACCAAGCAATTATCCAATTCTCTGTGAATACCAACTTGGTGTCCTACAATGCAAATCAATCCTGACACTATCTACTTAGGACTGGTGCAGACTCCTCAGGTTAAGAGCTCAGTCTCACAAGACTGCACCCCTCCCCCACCACTTCAGACAGCAGTGGCAAATTCAGGTTGTCACCGGTGCTTCTGACTGACTGGCTACAAATTGGAGATTTTCACTACCTCCTCTTTGGGTGCAGTAATTTGCTAGAATGGCTCACAGAACTCAGGAAAATGGCTTGCTTACTAGATTACCAGTTTATTATAAAAGGATGCAATTCAGGGACAGCCAGATAGAAGATACATAGGGCAAGGTGAAGGAACACAGAGCATTCATGTCCTCTTCAAGCATGCCACTCTCCAACATATTCATGCATTCACCAACCTGGAAGCTCTCTGAACCCTGTAATTAGCCCTGTAATTAGCTTTTTTTTTTTTTTTACCGAGACTTGATTATGTAGGCATAATTGATTAATTTATTGGCCATTAGTCACTCACTTACCTCCAGCCCCTTTCCCCTCCCAGGAGTTCAGTGGGTTGAAGTGGAAAGTTCCAACCCTCTAATCACATGGTTGGTTCCCCCAACAACTAGCCCTTATCCAGAAGCCCTCAGCCACAAGTCGTCTCATTAGCATACAAACAGGTATATCACTTCAGAGATTTCCAAAGGTTTTAGGAGCTGTGTGCCAAGAAATGGGGACAGAGACCAAATATATATAGTACCGTATTGTTTCTCAGATCTATAATATGCATTTTACTAATCACAACCTACTTCAATATAATCCTAACTTAATTCCAAAAATATATATAAGATTGGTCCAATATATCTCTTTTTCTTTTCCCATCCTTTGTGATATTATCACATATATCTATATGAAAATGCACTAATACAGTGCTACAATTATTGTTTTATATAATCTTATGCCTTTTAAATAAGAAAAGATATGGACAATTATCTTTTTATAATATTATTTATTTACCCAATTATTGACCAGTTCTAGTGCTCTTTATTTCTTCTAAGAATTTGAATTAACATGTAGCATCATTTCCTTTCAGCCTAGGGGAGTTCCTTTAGTATTTTTTTGTAAGACAGTTTGCTAACAAGAAATTCTTTCAGCCTTTACCTGACATGCCTCTATTTTTTCTTTATTTTTTTTAAAAAAATTGTCTTTATTGATTTCAGAGAGAGGAAGGAAGAGGGAGAGAGAGAAAAACATCAGTGATGAGGGAGTTATTGATCAGCTGCCTCCTGCACGCCCCCTACTGGCGATTGAGCCTACAAACTGGGCATGTGCCCTGGCGGGGAATTGAACTGCAATCTCCTGGATCATAGGTCAATACTCAACTGCTGAGCCACATCGGCCAAACTTTTTACTTTATCTTTGAAAAATAGTTATGCTGCATTCTTTTTAAAAAATATTTTTATTGATTTTTTTTTTTTTTTTTTTTTTTTAAGAGTAGAAGGGAGAGGGGGAGAGAGAGAGAAACATCTATGTGAGAGCAGAAAATCAATTGGCTGCCTCCTGCATGCCCCCACTGGGGATTGAACCTGCAACTGCAACCAGACATGTGCCCTGACTAGGAATCGAACCAGCAACCTTTCTATGCATGGGGCGATGCTCAACCAAATGAGCCACACTGGCCAGGGCTATGCTACATTCTTGGTTGAGAGTGTTTTTTCTTTTAGCACTTTAAATATGTTACCCTATTGTTTTCTGTCCTTCATTCTCTAATAAGAAACCAATTGTTAATCTTAGTACAGTATCCCTCCCTGAAACCAATGAATCATTTTTCTTTTGCTGCTTTCAAGATTTTTCTTTTTGTCTATGTCTGTCACAAGTTTGCTACAGTGTGTCTAATTGTTAAACAGTTTGTGATTATCCTTCTTGGGATTTGTTCCATCCCTTGGATCTGTAAGGTAATGTTTGCCAAATTTGGGAAGTTTTTCAGCCATTATTTCTTTAAAAATATTTGTCTTTTTTCCCCTTTTCTGTAATTCTAGGGCTTCTGTTTTGTGAAGTTTGGTTTTGTTGATGTTGTTCCACGTGTTTATAAGGCTCTGTAAATTTTTCTTTAACCTTATTTTCTCTCTATTTTTCAGACAGGGTGATTTATATTGATACATTCTAGTTCACCTATCCTTTCTTCTATCATCTCACATTTGATATTAAGTCTCTGTAGTGATTTCTCATATCATTGTTATGATTTTCAACTCCAGAATTTCCAATTGTCTTTTTTTTTCAATTCTCTTCATTGAGGCTCTCTATTTGTTAAGCCATTATCATCATACTTTCATTTAATTCTTTAAACATGATTTGTATGAGTTCTTAGAACATTTTTTAACAGCTGCTTTGACATCATGTTTGCTAAATCCAACATCTGGGTCACAGAGAGAGAGAGTTTTGATTTCTGCTTTTTCCTCTTAGTATGGATGATAACTTTCTTGTATGTACACCTCATAATATTTTGTTGAATACTAGATTTTTTTGATATATTGTAACAACTCTAACTTTACCTCTCTATTAAAGAATTACTGTTTTGTTTGTTTGCTCATTTAAAACTTCACTAAATTAGTAAAGTCTGTCTCTCTTGCAGTGTGTGGCTGCTGCTATCTTTGCTCAGATTTATTTTTTATTTTTATTCTTTGTTTTGCTTTTAAGTCTGGCTCTTATGGTGTTGACACTATGATTACATCACTTAATGTTAAATTAATAGTCAGAGTTTTTGCTTAGATACCTCACAGAGTAAGAATTTCAATCTCTGTTGATAGATCTGTGTGGGCTGGTGTGTGTATTCAAACTTCAGGCCATTTTCCAGTTTTCCCAGATTTTAATTTCCATTGGGCTCTCTTATGTTTCCTCTATATCTATGCACAGACTCCATTGGCCAGGGATGTGTGGGTGGTTTTGTGCCCACTGTGGTCTCTGCTGTGAATGCTCATAGCCTCTGGTCTATCCAGGACAGGAGGGCTTATTAAGAACACTATGGTTATCTCACCTCCCCCAAACACTATTAAACCCGACAGGTCCACCAGTCTAGCTTAACCATCAACCCTCAGTGTTTATGTTCCACTGAGATCGCCACTTTAAATGGCAATGTTCCAAATCAAGTGAGTTCCTTTGGGCAGCAGCAGGAAAGCTGTTGATTTCATGGCCTTGCCCACTCTGGTTGAATTATAGTGCCACAGAGGGTGGGAAAAACCCTGTTAAGAACACCAAAGACTTGGGTTCTTCTTTCCTTAAGTTTAATGTTTTAATGAATGAACATTTTTCAGTTTTTGGTTATCAAAGTTCCCAAAATGCTTATTTTTGAAAGTTAGTCAGTCAGTCTGACTGTTTATCTATCTACCTATCTACCTATAGTTGCTTTTGGGGAGAGAACATATTGACCTCCACTTGGTCATGCCAGAAGTGCCTGTTCTGGGGCGCTTCCTTTTGAATTGGCATGTTGGCTCTGTAGTGGAGCTGTTTCTCATTGTCAGAATGAGTGAGTAAATAGGGAATTGTGAATGTAGGAAAAAAACTCAAGGAAAAAATACTTTTATGGATTATGACAACTTGGCTAACCAGATACCAGATACAAAATTTAATTTTTAAATACTGTAAACCATAATACTGGCTGCAGGGCTGATTGCTCTGTATAAGTGATATAGTGATTTTTGCAGGAGATTCTAATTGATGGTTGTTGGCACATTTTGCTAACTGTTGATAAGACTGGCTAATTTGGTAATCTCACTAGTGAAAAGGAATAAAAGGAGATAAAATAAATTGATGACAGTAATTCAGGGAGTGAATAGTAAAGTAAATAATTGAGCAGCATATCCCTGTTCAGATGGCCAATATTGATTCTGAATCCATGGAAAGATTTTATTTAAAAAGTGTTCTTAATGTGAGCTAGGTCATGGAGAATGAGTAGGAGTTCACTATACCCATCAAGACATACCACTTCTGGGGTGTAGAGAGAGCAGAGGGCTTCAGGGGAAAGAGTGGGTAGAAACTTACCTGTAAAAGTCTTATTTACCACGGTGAAGTGATGGGAGCACACTTATTTGTTTGTTATTTTAAAAGTACCTTTATTGATGTATAAGGTAAGGTAAATACACACCCTGTCACTCCACCTTGTATCTTATATGTGTAAGTGCCATAATAAGTCGTCCATGGAAAATTTTGACGGCTCCTGTTTAATTTAGCCCTTCTATGTGTGTGTGGGAGGGAGGTGTAAGGAACTATCAAAGGCTGGAGAAGACATTTCAATGTGTTGTCACCAATATGAACCATATAGCTGTGCATCTTCATTGATATATGAGTCTACCCAAAGAAAATTCATTGGCCAAAAGTTCTGGAGTAATTTGCTGACCACAACTACTTGTGTCCATTGTTGCAAGTGTCCATTGTATTGTATCTAATATTCTCAGAAGATAACTCATTTAGTTAAATAGAATAACATATATACAGGTACCAAGAATCCCAGAATATTTCATAAATAATTGCCCAAATATGAGCACAGCAAAAAATACTTTTATTAGAACTCATAAAATAAATTTTTATTTTCAGGGAGAAGTTGCTGAAGTTACATTTGTAGGTGCTAACCCAAAGAATTCAGCGGAAAACCGGGTAAGCACCAAGGACTCTTTTTACAAATTTAAATTCACCTTTTAGCCTTTCATTCACTTGAATATCTTGTTAGAGGTTAACAACAGGAAGACAAAATGTTCCAATTTGCTTTTCATCTGATTTTGCAGGTGTGGGGAAATTTTCAGTGGGAAGAGTTAATGTGAATTGAGTCTGGAAAAAAAGCATCTAGGAAACATTTCACTGGCTCTACTTAGGACCACATATAGTACAATGCATAGAGAACCACATTGCCTCTCGAGGAGATGTAAATTTGAATAAAATCCCATTTATGTTTTCCAATTTGGGTGAATAATCAAAGGCCAAAAGTGAAGGGTTCCTGTGCCTCCTTTCTGGTCCCTGTTTGGCTCCTCTCCTCCTGCATGGCTGCCTCTGGTCCTACCTCTACTGTTGTGGATGATCATCAGTCCCTGAGTGGGAAACTCCTGGTTTGGAGCCCTGACCCATGCACTTTATTTTATCTTGCATGGTCCATTTCCCTACTCTTTGCCATAATAGGATAGCTATCTCTTAATCTTGAAAAATGACAGGTCTAATGTGAAAGCAGATAGCATAGAAATGCTTACGATAGAATGTGAAAAGACCCCTCTATTCATAAATCTTTTTAGAAGTAATCACCATTACTAGTTGGTTACATATCATTTCATAGCTTTTTGTTTTATCATATATGTATGTATATATTTGATAAAGTGTATATATGTAATATGTTTATTAATACAGTGAAGTAATGTTGCTTCTCTGCAACTCCCTTAGAATGTTCTTATAAGTACATAAGCAATGACCAGATACATTCTAGTTGTAAAAATTCAAAGGATAAAGAAATACAGAGGAAAAAGGGAATGGGTATATGAAAGTGATTTCAAGGTTAGGTGTTTTACTGTGGCTGAGGTCGCAAACACTCTATCAATACGCTGTTTTTCCCAGGTCCCACTGTCATTTATAAACCCAAATACCTTTCTTCCAAACGAGCCTTCCCACTTCTGTCATTAAAATATTATTATCGCTGTGATAACAATTGTGGCAATATGCTGTTGTCAAAAGGGCACTGGGGAAAATGTTCTGCTTGGGTGATTAACAGATACCTGTCTGGAATAATTTTTCTAGGCATTGACGCTGTGCCAGAATATTTATATGTTCATAACATTATTTTTCTGAGGATAGCAAAAAGTGTAGTAGTCAAACTGTAGAAGTAGCTGTCATTTGATATCCTTAGGGTGGAGAAATACTATCATCATTACTGCCATGGAGAAGCAGAGAAACAAAGTGGTTAAAGCACTACAGCGAGAATAAAATTAATTTCTAAGAAGGCTCTGGGACTTGGCGTGAAACAATTTCCACTACCTCTTAGTAGGAGTAATCATAACCTCACCACTGTTTACTGAATGCTTACTATTTGCATGAACTAGGCTAAGTGTTTTACATACATCATCACATAAATCTAATTTAATCCTTACTGCTATTCAATGAGTTACATTATATTATCCCTGTTTTACTGTGGCCTAGAGACATTAAGTAACTTTTATTAAATATTAACTAATGTGTATCTGGAAGAGATTAAAGTTAGGAGGTGGGGAAAGGGTAGTCATATAATTCACATATGCAGTGGCCTAGACGTGTTCTCTGATTTGTACTCTAGACTTAGGAACTAGGACCCACTCTGTGCTCTACCCCATCTAAAGCCTCCTGCTCCCCAAGTTCCTCCGCTCTAAGTGGCCAGAAGTAGCTTTCTTTACAAGTCACCATGGTTATGAAAACTTCCTTATTGAATATAGTCCATCAGTTGAGTAACTAGAAAAGAATCTGAAATAATCCTCTGGCCAAGCTGTAAATAAGTGATCCATTCAGCAGAAGTTTATTTGAAGACCTGTAAATGGCAGGTACAACGGGCTGTGATGGATAAAGGTGAATTAGATACAAGCCACGCCCTTAAGGCCACGATCTAAAGGGTTTTTTTTTTGGTAAAATTGAGATTTATGGCTTTTGTATCTTTAATTTGTTATATTATTCAAATCTGTGCTTTATTTGAAGCTGAATTCTTGGTCTGAAGCAAATTATTATAGCAATTTTCCAATGGGAAAATAAAATTTGCTTATGATGAGATTTCTAGAAATCCATGACAAAAGATAGGAATTTCTTTTAGCACCCCAGGGCAAAGAGAACTTAGGCATTCTTTTCAGTTCTTTCACTTGGGGAGCTATATTTACTAATAATTCATATACCAGGAGATGGAAAGATGAAGAAACCTTCCCATTTTCCCTCCTAAATCTTGAGATGACCAGGGAAACTCTTGGAATGTGGGTCAATAAACCTGTCATGAGGAGGTTCAACTTACGCCTTTTTTAAATCTCAAGTTTTATTCTGTCTCTCTCTGCCCTAATTTCCAAAATTTGCTATCAGTTCTGAAATTATGCTTTATTCAATTTTCTAAAAAAGTCGTGGTTTTTAATAGACTGGATGAATTAACATGCTGAAGATATTGCATAGAATGTTAAAAGGAACACCTAAGAAGTTGGGCGAAAGTCTGATCCATTTTTACCCAAGGTATTGGTAGGTTAGCGCAAAGTCAACAAGGGGAATATTCACAGACAGGGTCCTTCTCTGACTGATCAGTGTCTAATGTTATGTGACTTACATTTCAGACCCATCAGACTTTCCTCACTGTGGAGAAATATGAGGACACTTCAGCCACCTGGCACATAGTGCATAATGATGCCTCCTGGGAGACTCGGTGAGCACGTCTATTGAATATTTTGTCTTTCAAGTCTTGAAAACAGTTCATTAGTAATGTAGGGGAGACAAATGGGAAGGCTGGCTCAATACCTGATATTAATGATATCAAATTCCCAAGGAGCTGTCTGGCCATATTTAGTTGATTCATTAGACTTCATTTTTATTCTGTTTTTCTACAGAACTGTGGTGTGTGCTTCTGTAAGATTAGGTGCTAATGAGGTTATGGCTTCCATTCTTATAAACATCTGTTAATTATTTTTTTCCGTGGTCAAAGACATTACTCCTAAAAGCTGTCTAGCCTTCTTGAAAATTGGTTGAAAAGGGTGCTGGGCAAAGGTGATGAGGTAACTCTGTGGAGCCTGACATTCCTTCTGGAAAAAGAAAGCGTCTATACCCAACATGTACTGTGTATTTATATGTGGTCAGTGATTCTTCATTTGAATTACTAAACACAGGAGCCTGACTGTTTAAGTCTTATTGACTAATGTAAGAAAGAAATATGCTCATGGTCTTCACAGAGACATATTGCTGTGCCTTTGTTACTGAATGCCTGAGCTGAATAGATATTTTGAAATTTAAAAAATGTGTCTAAAATAAAAAATGTTTCTGTCCCCAATTTTACAAATGTCACCATAGGACAGTGACATGGAAGTGGGCAACTTTTTTGGCAATTTGTTTCTAATCCAGATCACCTCAAACTAAGTGCTTATTTGTATTTTGGTTTGGTTCACATGTTTAACTGAAAATAGAGATTTGATAGCCATACATAAATATGGGAATACTTTTTTCCTCTGATCGTTAGGACTCCAGGGTAGAGGTGGCTTAAAAAAAATAATAAATACATATTTATTGTTAACATAAGATTATACAGATAGAAAAAGGCTGATTTCCAAAAGCCCCAAATCAGAATAGCAGTCTACACTGAGATAATGTATAGCTCTCTGCTTTGTTCATCAGCAGCAACACATCCACTGTGTATTGAGAGCACCGGGCTTATTACTTATTACTCACAATGTCGAGCACACCCCTTGTGTCCAGAGGATTTACTTTCTACATAACTGAGGATATCAGTCAGTTAACCCATTGTATCTCACTGGATCTAGAGGAGTATCTGAGCCCTGCGTCATGGTCTATAAGGACCACCGTGATCTGACCATCTGTTTCTATCGTCTCAACCACACTTTCCGTTTACTATGCCCTAATTCTGTTCCTCGGCTGTACCAAGGTTATTCCCGCTTCAGACACTGTGCACTCTCTGTCCCCTCTTCCTCTAAGAGGGTTCTGTTTCAATGATACCTCTTTAGACATCCCTCTGTCTTACTTTCATTTCACATATCACTTTTAAAATTATTTGTGGTATACTTGCTTATTGCCTTTCTGTTATCATTGAGAAACACAGAAATGTTAGACCAAGTCTGTCTTGCTCACTACTGTACCCTCAGAATAGAGTCTGGCACATATTCTCGTTAGATATATATTTTTTAAAAATGAATCTAGATGTGAAAAGAAGCATCAGTTCTAAAGCAGGAGACATTTGAGCATCAGGTAAGGCCTTCTGGGACAGATAGAGTTTACGTAGTTAGAAAGGTGGAACAAGCAAGGGTATTTCTACATGTGGCTTTTCCTTAAAGGTCCTCTTCTAGAAAGAAAGCATTTATCTCTGTTTTGTTCATTGCTATACTCTGAATATCTAGACTAGTGCCTTACTTATGTTCATTTAATGAATAACCATATATTTTTCTAACCACACATTTTTTAAGAGTAAAATTGGGTTTGTTTGTTTGTTTCCTACCAACAGTTTCTATTGGCACAAGGGATTCCTGGGTCATAGCAATGCAACGGTTCAATGGCATATTCCAGATACTGCCCAGCCCGGGATCTACAGAATAAGATACTTTGGACACAATCGAAAGCAGGACTTTCTCAAGCCCGCCATCATACTTTCATTTGAAAGTACTTCGTCCAGTTTTGAAGTTGTAACTATTAAGTGAAAAGTTGACACAGCACTTAGAGAACAGTTTTGCTCTGTATAAATTACATAACTGATTTCATATGAAGTATGCTGTTCTGATGACTTCTATAGTTGTCCCAGTTTGGAGTTTACTGCTAATGGGACAGAGGTGTGTGTGTGTGTGTGTGTGTGTGTGTGTGCGCGCGCGCGCATGTGTGTGCGTGCAAGTGTGTGATGTGTGTGTTCCATTTACCTTGCTCTAGCACTTTTGTACCTCATGGTCTACAGCATGATTCCCCTTGGGAACTTGCGGCTGTTTGAAGCAACAGTTCCCCCAATATAAAACCTCTGAAATGTTAGTAAGAGTGTTTGAAGATGTGTGAACAAAGTTTAAACTATTTATTTATAGAGTTATTGAATGTTAGCTCTGGAAAAATTTAAAGAAATCACCTAGTTTGAGCCTTCACTTTGCAGATGGGAAAACTGAAATTTTATGGATTTAAGATAAGCATGAAGCTACCGGATCCCCTCAGTCACATTTAAAGACTATTATATAAACAGTGACTAGACATATATAAGCCCAGTTAGAGAAAGTAGCATGAAATTAGCATCCCAGTTTTTCTGTTTCAAGCACAGCCTTTCAAAGCAGTCACTCTGGAGTTGACACGCTCAATCCAGATTTTTGTTGATGTGCAGATCATTTCTGGAATTGCCTTCAGAGCCCACTTACAGAAAGTGAGACTTGTAATATTTCTTTTTTTTTAAATCCTCTCCTGAGGATATTTTTTTCCCATTGCTTTTCAGAAAGAGCAGAAGGGAGGGAGAAAGGGAGGGAGGGAGAAAAAGAGAGAGAGGGAGAAACGTTGATGTGAGAGAGACACATCGATTGGTTGGTTCCCACATGCGCCCTGACTATGGCCAGGGATCGAGCCTGCAACTGAGGTACATGCCCTTGGCTGGAATCCAACCCGGGACCCTTCACTCTGTGGGCCAAAGCTCTAATCACTGAGCAAAACAGGCTAGGGTGAGACTTGTAATATTTCGATCATGCCTCATGCTTCCCTAAGTGCCCTTAGCCCAGTAAATTGTGTCTCTTGTTCCCAAAACTTGTTAGTGATGTTTGACTGTTTTCATTAATAAAATTCACCCCAAAACCACAAAGCTTTTTCATTAGTGTAGATATTAAAATGAAAAGGATATTGACTTAGAAGGGAGTCCTCAAAGGGGAGGCTCTAAATTCACTGGTTTGTCCTTCTATTGCTCATTCACTCACTCACTCACTCACTCACTCACTCACTCACTCACTCACCCAGTCATGGACCCATTTCATCATAAAATATTTATTAAGACTTACTCTTATACCCAGCATTGACAGTTAGTGAGCTCAATTAGTGATATCATATTTGGGATGAATGTAGAAGTATCAAAAGGTGACAAATAAAGGAGAAAAATAAATCAATTTATAAATTCTGGAGAGACATTTAAAATCAGTAAGCTACAAGTCACATCTTGTATATCATCTGTGTTGGGTAGTATAATTTTGGGAAAAAGAAGCTCCAGGCAACTTGGGAAAAGCTATTTTGAAGTTATTTGGGGGCATTATTAAATATCCAGCCTAATGAACAAAAGAATGAGAGATGACAATTTGGCAGATTGCCTGAAAGTACTAATTGCACTTAAAGTTAGTCACGTTAACTAGGAGCTCCCAGGTTATAAAATAAACTTCCAGAAACCAAGTCATGCTTTTGTATGTGTGGAAAAGGTTTAGCATTTTAGGGGGGAAAAATCAACCTTTATTTCCAAAACAAACTTGAAAGTTTGAAAATAGTAATGATATTAATAATGATACTATTAACATCCATGTATGTAAGACTTGAACATACATTAGAATGAACCTGGGACACTTTTTGACGAATCAGTACTCTGCAGGTTGTTTCTATGGAAATTCAGTGCTAGAGACTTAGCTAGTCAGGATTTCAAAGGCGTAGCACTCATTTTCCCTAATGACCTCATACTATTTAGTAAAAATTTCAGAGGCTAAAAGAGCAGGTAATTCTGAAAGTAGTTGACCCCAGACATAAATTATATTAGAACTCATGATATGATTTTAAAAGGCATTTCTCACGACTCAGAAGAGTTTTTGAATGATTTTTTCCCCTCCCCCCAAGCCTCCCATTGAAGCTTTCCTCAGTTGGCCTGTGATTTCTTATTGTTTACTTGCAACTGTGCCCAGGCAGCCATGGTATTTATTGCCTGCTGATGATCCTCCTGCACCCAGCCCTCTGTCTACCAGCACAGAACAACCCACGGAAGCCTCTTTTCTCACTAGCTGCCATCTCTTCCAACCCATGCATTTCCGTTGCTGCAGTTTGTGTCTAAGTGTAAGACCAGATCCTTGCATTACAGATACCACGGTGATTAATTGGAGCATAAAAGAACACCATGAAGAGGCTGATCTTTTCTGTTAATGTCAAAACATAGATTCTGTCTATGTCTGTGTCTGTGTCTGCTGCCCATTGGAACCAAACCATGTGGGAAAAATTCCTGAAACTAGTGGAGAATGTGGAAAAAAGTGGGGTTGGGTGGGTGGGAGAATTCTTTTGGAGAAGATTTTGTTTGTGTCAAAGTGTCTGTGTTTTATTTGTTGCCCTCTGTCTAGTTTTAAGGATGCTGTGATATCTTCAAAAAGCACTGAATAATCCCTCTATATTTTTCCATGGGTATTACATAAATTGTCAATATTCAACAGACTGTTTAATAAAATAATTACACATGAGAAAGTATTTTCGAATGAGAGGTCATGTAGACAAACAATTTTTTTTTTTAAAGAGGTGGAACAAATGGTGATGGATTCCATGTAAATCAGGTTGGAAAGTGACATAAATGACCTTTGTATGTAACTAATCAAACATAAGGGAACCCCTTCATCGGTTCCTTCCTGCCCTCCAAAGATTTACTGCTGGCAAAATACATAGGGCTGACATTTTTTACTGCTAGGGCAACTGAGAGTTTCCTAAGCAGGTAGTTAGTTAATTGTGAAATTGTTTTGTGAGCTAATTCTGAACACAGAGACCAAGAATAAATATACTCATGGATATCTTTTTAAAAGATATTAATTCTCTAATATAAGCAAGTACACATCCTTATCTAATATCCACATATGGACTTCATCTTTAACCTAAAGATTTCAGCATTAGATGATCCTTTCATGTCTTTAGTTCTTCCAAACAGTGTTTTTGGTTCCTGGGTATCCCAGTCTGACCTGCTGGTTTATACTGGCTTTTGAAATTTCACGTTGTACAGAGAACCACACAGGGAAATTTGCATATTTCCCACAGGATGTAGTGATGTAGCACTGAACTTTGCCTTCATAAATAGCAGTTTGGGTTTATATTGTAATAGTATTTTCCCCCTTGAGACTCTTCATTTATAATATAGAGGGCTTGAATGTATCTTCCCCTTGCTATACTAATGAAACAAGGAAACTGATTTTGGTTTCCAGTGAACCAAATTGGATATCAATCTTCTGTCTTCATGGTCTGTAACCCTGTCTCTTGGAATTAAATTTATGAAAATACTTCCTTTGCTTCTGCCCATCTCATGTTTTCAAATCTTGATTTCCTTTTGCTTTTTTATATCTAGTAACTTGGCAAGTACAGTCAGTAAAGACCATGCTCTCCCTGTAGATGGAGTCCAGAGTTCCAGCCTATGTGTTGTAAGTACTTATAAATACTAACAAAGGACCCCCCCCCCCC